GCCCCTTGTGAGTCTAAATTCCACTCAGCTGTTCCTTTGCTTCTTACTTCTGCTAAACTCTCTCAGAGCTTCCAAGTCTAGAGTAGGACACAGCAAGGTGCTATCCCAACACCACCTGTGCCTGACAGCTTCATCATTACAAGTGTTTGCTTGGGGATCCTCCCCAAAATAAGACATCTCCAAAAAACCCTCTTGGTACTACCTAATAATCAAGAATGAATAAAAATATCTCTCCCATCACTCCCATGCCCTATTTTTTCCAAAAGTAACAGCACACAAATATCTTGAAGGGTAAAACTGGAAAATGGAGAAGCATTACATGAAACCACTGGTACACAGTCAGACACACTTTCAGCCCATTTCTTGTGCACAATATGAATCGCACATACTCTGCTACCTGTAAAGGCCTGGAATTCATCATATAAGATGCTAATTAAGTGAAATTAATTAATCTAATACTGTAAGATATTAATTCTAAATAACTTCAACCCAAAATGTACCATCAGTATTCTGCTGTATCATCATGGCCCACACCTGGCTATATTCCACTTTTTTATTAAGTTAGAACCGAATAAGCTATAAAACAATAACTACATAGGTACTGTTAACTTAGCTTACATATTACTAACAATTTTGCTACTAAAGTAATAGCTATTAACAGTCTATAAAATTAATGAAGGTGTAGTTAAAATTAATCTTCACATTTCATTTTGACTGCAATATGTATGACAACTTTTAAACTAATTCAGAATAAACATTGAACTGATATCCTAGTGAAGTTAGCCATCAGTTCTCTAAATAGATGAGGTATCTGATGGAAACATTTCTACTGCCTAACAATGTATGTTGTGCCTATTGCAACAGATTCACCAGTGCTATACAAAGTGCAAGAATAAGTTGAGAAACAAAGATAGCAGTGCTACCATGCAAAGTGAATGGATCTACGACCAGCCATCACGACTAGTTAATAATGTGTTTAGTCAAGAATATGAAGATATGTCAATAATAAGAAGTCTATGTGACACTGGAAGGGAGACGATATGAAAAAGAAAGTGCATGCAGTTGTAACCAAGATACGAGCACGTGTGATGATACTTCTATCAAGGTAGAAAAGAAATATACATAAAAATCTCCATTAACCTGGAATACTTTTTGTTCATGTATTTATTTCAAGTTAAAGAACTTTTTACGCCACACAGCTACAAATGAAATGAGCATTAATGTATGTAACCAGCATCAAAATACTGTGAAAGCTAAAGGTATTCAAACCTCTTTTCAATGCCAACATATCTGACCATGTATACTGGGTTTTTTCTACTTCAGACAAAAGCACAGTTATGATTTTGTTTTTATCCAGCTTAAGGCCGCTTCTTTGCTTTAAAAATGTAGTTCTGTAAAACAGTATCTGTCCACTGTAATGACAGATTTCCAGAGAGGAATACCTCACACCCTCCCAGGGCACTGTCTGGCATTATTTCTAACTCCTTTCATATCCCCTGCATTAAGAAGTCCCTGCAATTCCTTCTACTCTTAGCTATTTAGCCAGCTATGCCATCTTGTAATGCACATTTTCATTCCAAATTAAAATGCCTAACGTTGTTTTAAAAGTCATAGCTTATATGTTTTTTAAAGAAATATTAATTACCAAAATAATCTTGACAGGTAGGCTACATGGTATACTGCTGTAGGACTTACTGCCATATCTGGGAACATCACAGAAATTATTTGGATTTAAAATGTGTATTTTAAACTTATCTTAAAGTGCTTAGAATACTTGTGGAATTTAAGAAAATAATATAACTAAGATGCATAGAAAGAGATTATCATAATTTGCATGTACTTGAGGAAACGCAGTCTTGACATAGTTAAGTATGTGTGACTTGAAGGAAATGAATTTTTTTTCACAGTCAAATACTGCAAGCTGAATACTGTGTTTCAAAAAATTGCTTGCAATTGTAAATATGTGAAAGGAAACTTCATAGAATAAAATGAGAGGTTACAGCCTTATACTTTAATTGTGTTGTAAGAACTGATACATGCTTCTCACTGGATTCAGCTTCATCACTAGCTTTATTTTCTGAAATTCTTCCTTTCTGTAACAGCAAAAATGCCACATAATTTGAAAAAATTCATCTGTGCACTTGTTTCCTTTTGGTAAAAGTGCTGGCTACCATTCTTAGACAAAGTGAGACGTGACTTTCAGAGGGATCGACTGCGAGCATTCAGATAGGGAAGAACAATCATGAAGTATCTTTTTAAAAATTATTATTGCTATTTTCTGGACATTGGGAAGTAAACAATGGTTTTCCCTACTTCTCTATCAAAACTGGGAACTGAGTCCATTTGCAGTCATACATATTCAGGCTTCCAGAGTCAGTAAATCGAATTTTAATTGTGGATGTAAATATGTAGTTAATTTTTTTTCCAGCAAAATTTATCGCTTAAGAAGCACTTCAGATTTCCTATTTTGAAACTCTCTAAAAATTAAACCCTTAATGCATATAATACACGCCTAATTTTTAATTTTAAAGGTAAAATTATATATTGGGTTACATATTAAGGGGTTAAATACACTGAATGTTTATACATTTAGCATAGAGCTTTAAGGGCAGATATAGCCATCCCATCATTTTAGATGTGAGGTGTGAAGTCCGTCTGAGGCACAGATGCAGTTCTTTGAAGAAAAGAACTGAAGGCAGCCGTCACTGAACGAAAGTCACCTCCAAGTACACAAAGCACAAAGAGGTCAATGCAAAGCCTTTCAGCTCTTACATTTTGTCAAAAACTGACAACAGTTCATATATAATCCAGCACACATCTAGAAGGCGCATTTAAAAAGCCTCTAATTCAGATAACTCATATACCTCATTTGGGCTCTTTTCTTTACACTTGATAACACTGCCTCCACTTCTCATCAAATGAAGGCCCTTCAAATGAAGGCCAGTGTGATTTCTGCAGTTTTTCACATGCTTCTCAGAAATGGCTGAAAGTTGCTTCGAAAGAAGTTGGACATAAATCTCCACTCTGAAAGGTTAAAAATTCAGCAAATTCTGGGGAACTGAAAAAATGTAATATCTAATATGTTCTATCATCTGACACCAACAGCAAAGACAGTCAGACATCATGGGTTTTTATGGAAGTCTACCACAGAATGAAACATCAGGACCGAATTCAGAATTAATTTAGAACACAAATTCTTAATATTAAAAGTATGAAATATCCTTTTTTTTTATTTATGCTTTTTTAAAAATGCATATTGTAGTGTTAAGAACATTAAGATTTATATGAAATATAAATGGACAACAGTAAGTCAAAGAATGACAGAACCACTGGTTAGAGGGGACCTCTAAAGATCACACCCTTACTCAAGACAGAAAAGGTTGGCCAAGACCTTGTCCAGATGGCTTTCGAGTATCTCCAAGGTCAGAGACTTTCCTGATACTTTGATGGACCGTTTTGTGTTTCTTGTTGCCTCTGATCCTGTCCCTGGCATCACTGAACAGGGCCTGGCTCTGCCATCCACAGGTATTTATACAAATGGATAAGATTCCCCTGATCCTTCTCCAGGATGCACACTCACAGCTCTCCCAGGCTGTCTAGTCCTTAATCATCTCCATGAAGATGACTCACTCCAGGAAGTCCATAATATTCCTATCCTGGGGAACCCAGAACTGGAGAATGCATTCCAGATCTGGTCCAGTATCTTCCAAGCCCACAGGAAGGACCCTCATCCTTGTACTGCTGGCAGTGCAATGCCTGACGCAGGGCAGGATGCTGCTGGATCCCTTGCCATGAAAACACATTGCTGGCTCACGGTCTTTTTGCTGTCCCTCAGTACCCCTTAGCTAAGGTACATCTGTGCAAAGCAGATGCAGGAACTTGCCCGTTTCTTTGACAAACCTGAGAGATGCTCTTCAGCCCAATTCTGCAGCCTGCCCAGACCCCTCTGGACCACGAGTATATCTTCAGCTACAGATGACTTAAAACAAGAACCTCAAGTTCATGACCCAGTGTCTGAACCATGAAGTGAGTCTCAGCCCTCCAGGGACTGAAGGAGACAGAATTCCTGATAATTTTAGTAGGACTCAAGTTTACCTTCAAATCACTTAAATATATTCTTTCATATGAAAAATCAAGATAAGCTAAAGGAAAATAGTAATTGAAACAGTAACTTCCAATGACTTTGTCTGGTATTAAGGATTATTTACACACCCTCAGCCTGACTTTAACAGTAATTACAGAGTTCATGCATTCCGTGGAAAACTGGACAGAAAACACTTCATTAGACTCCAGAATATATATATAATAATAGCATGCATGCCATTGTTTCCCTAGAGAAATGAAAGAAAATGGAAAAAGGATTGAAATTAATGTTCATAAGAAGCGTGAGATAGGAGGAACAACAAGTATTGATATGCATATGAAAAACCGCTCATGAAGAAATAAAATACCTGTCCAGGCATCAGATACCCATGGATGTACCTACATTTGGATGATGGCATTATTGCTTGGCTTAGTATTCCCAGCCAATTAGTATTTGTGTTAACTAACAAAGCAGCTTGTCTATTTATATAGTGATCTTCATTTGCAATCTCTACACATCAACAAAGGTGACCTAAGTTTTCAAGATCAGAGCAGAGTTCAGAGTCCAGTCTTCTAGGAAAACAGAGGTCTTAGAAAATATAGAAGCATTGCATTTCTGAAATATAGAAAATTATGAAATCCAAGAATAAGACAGTTTCTTAGGATTTGTATGTCTTACCTCTTTAAACACACTTCAGAATATATGCAAACAAAAATGTACCTTAGCATATCACCAGCATAATCTGAAGAAATATCAGCAGAGATATGAACATGTGCTTTTTAATAAAAAGTATTTTCATTCTCATGAGAAAATATTACCTTAGACTGTCTCATCTTCTAGATTTTACTGTGTTTGCACTAATGATTTTCAAAAGAATTCAGAAAATCTGAATCAAAAAAACAAACCCAAAACAATGGTTTCCCAGACAACACAGCCAGCAGAACTACCAAGGTTTCAGCAAAAATGGAACCTTCTATTTAAATTATGAGTATTGCACGCAATCATGTTCACTGCTACGCTTATCAACATCATGGTACAAAGTCAGTATGGATTTTTGCACATTTCATCTCCTTCAGCTTTTTAAGATATTAGTAACATTTTTTTAAAATAGTTATGCAGCCTATTTGCATAGCAAGTCCATCAGAACACAAAATTCTGTTGAGTGTAGGTTTCAGCTTCAGCCACACAAGGACTACACCTAAAACACATCTCAAAGAAGAGAAACAACAGAATCTATCTAGGAGGTATTCTTGAAATTAAAAAGCCAGTTATTTCATTGGGGTTTATTTTGACAAAGAGGTCACTAACTGATTTTCACCTCCACTTATTTAGGACCCAATAAAGAGGACTCTCTAATCTTAGGCATTTGTGAGAAAAATAAGGTGGCAAGGTTCCTTTTCAGCACATCTGATTTATGCTATTCTAACAGAAATGCCAGATACTACTCAGGATAGTTAGCTAGAAAAGATCTGTATTAACTGAAGAACTTGTAAAGTGGTAAAAACCCCCTGAACTTTCCCCATTCAAAGAGGATCATATTCACCCCTTGAAGAATACAACTGATGTAAAAGAAAACAAAATCTAAGAGGGTCTGATTTTCTTAGGTATCTCAGTTTCTCTGAGTGAAAATAAGCTGTTTCAAGATTTCACAATTCTAGGACAGTTATTACCATTCCATTGAATCAGAGACTTTGACCACAGCAGATGAACATGAAAGAAATTTTTTATAGCACTATCTACTGCTGCAATTCATGCTGGAAGCTATGCTCTGTACAGCTGAGAATGCAAGTGGGCAAGGCACAGGTTACAAAGGTAGCTTCTTTCCAGTTTTACATGCAAAAAATGCTATCCCAAGGTCTGGAAGTCATGCAAGATATTCTGTACATCACAATCACTGTATAGAGAACCTCACTCACGCTGTTCTAAAATGAATGTAAAGTGCTTCACATCAGTCTTTTTAATTTTTTTATTATCAACAACACTAATAAAATAATTCAATCCCTGCACTATGATTCCTAACTACATATTAATATAAATCTGGTGGTTAGTTGCTGAATAGGCTTTCAAATAGCTATAAAAAATTTTCTTTTCTTAGCCACAGGTTTTTCAGTTTTTAGAAATTCTAAATTTCATACATGCTTGAACCTCCAATTTTAAATTTTTTTAACTTTATAAATCAATTTAAGCTCCACACTTATAAACCAAACACACTTTTCTTTTACAGAAACAGTTGCAGATTTTAGAATTTGGGCATTGAGACTGGAAGTCCTACACTTAAGGTAGTCAATACAACACAAATGTTAAAATAATAAGGTATGTGAATCTGAGTTCATTACCCACTGACTCTCATCAACCACTCTCCAGACTGACAGTAGATAATAAGATCATTACAGCATTCCAAGACACTTGTAAATAAACTCTTGACAGAAGTTTCAAGAAAATATATTTATTCAGTTTTGGCAGAGGAAGAAAACAATAAATATAACAATTTTTACACCCTTTTAATAAGTTATTTTTATATCACATTTCTGCTAAAAAATTTCAGGGAGTATTTTAAATTTTAAAAGAAGACATTCACTGAAGAAAGAACATTTAAAGTGAAAAAAATACATAAGAGTGCAAATGTTTTATCTTCCTGTGTCTAGTACTTAATTTTCAAGACCTTTGGAACAGTGCAAGTTACATTTTAGTTCAATAACAATGTGAGCATCCAATTAATATGCAGAACTAATACACAGAAGTCTGCTACGTGAATAATACAGATGGTAATTTTTCATTATATAACATCAATTCTCCTCTCCAATAATACTGAAAAAGACCTTTCCAAATTTCTGTAATTATGACACTTTTTACAAGCTTTTTAAAAATCCCATACTCAAGTCCCCAGCTGAAGCAAAATGAATCTAAGTGGAACCTCCTCAAAACAAGACATCCACCAGGCACGTCCAGCTCCTGTTCTGACGTGTTTACACAGCTCTGTGGAGTGCAACTGATACTTTCTCAGCAGCAGCAGATCCAAATCCATTGGGATGTTTATTTTCATGAACAGCAACTGGGGCAGCAATCCCTGAGATTCTCTAGGATGCCTGTAGGTGTGTTTTGACATCCCTCATGTTTTGCTAATTTTCTGTGAGCTGTCTACTCAAACCAGTTCTCTTTCAATAAGAAGCGTACAGCATCATCAAAGCCATTTTGGTACAATGATTCCATTTTCTCCTGGTCTGGTGGGAACAACGCTTGATTAAGCCTTACTAGGTTGGCCAGAGACAGCTGCAACAGAGCAAGAAGCTGTAAATTAGTTTATTAATGCAACTTATCCTGATGTGACTGTTCTGTCATCTGTTTCATGGAGCATATGTAAAATGGAAAGACTGGCATGGCTGTGTCTCCACCAGGGATTAACCACATCCAGGGCCACTGTGAGTGCCAGGACAGACTGGCACCAGTGCACACACACAGAGTCAAACTCACAGCATCCAAGACAGACTGGCTGCCTGTAACACTGTCCAAAGCTTCTGCAACACTTCAGCTTTGGAAACACTCCCAAAACTGTCTCACAGAGTGGTAGCTGGCACATGTTAAACTTGTGCAAGGAAATATTTTGACAACTTACTAGTGCAAACAAGCACATTCTTGGGAACATTCCCAGGCAATGTTTAACATATGAGTACAAACGTAGCTTCTGCTACCAATAAATTAAGAACTACTCAGCATCTTAAGTGGTCACTGTGATAAAGTAAAAGGATTTTGGAGCTTTATTCTTGAATAGAGATTTTATTAAATTGTTTACAACAAACTTAACACAATTATATTTAATAATGTTCCGAACAATTTCTTTATATAATTAATACTTAGCCACATTATTATATACAATTTTTCAAAACAATATCAGAATCATCATTATTTGAAGTAAGCAATTATTCAAATTCTGACACTAGGAGATGGAGAGACAGAAAACTATTCATATTCACATATGGATATATGAGGATGTACAACTCTTCAATTTATGCAGATTACAATATTGCTGACATGAAATTGTTCTTAGTCATCATTTTTACAGCCCTAAAAGCAGAAGTGCTTCAATTTGAATAGTTTTAAATGTTGCCTGGGATTCTGCACAAGTTTGCACATGACCCCAGAAGCAATGTAACTGTAAAATTAATTTTCTGTCTCTAAACTAAACTAATCACCAGCTCATTTTTCAGCCTCTAGATACAAAACACAAAGAAGAAATATACAATAATTGCATATACTCCCAAGATTCATAAAATCAATAATTTCACATTTTATGATCTTTACCAAGTATAACCATGCCTAATATCTCTCTGTGAAATATTATAAAGATTCAAAAACTGGTCCAATTGAGAAAGGCATTACATACCACTAATTTTAGTAAAATTAAGTAAACACTAAAAACTGCCTAGAAAGAAAGTTTTAAACTAATTATTATAAAGAAAGTTTTAAACTAATTATTATTGTTAATCTTTCTTTCTAATGGAACATTGTTGGCCACTTGGTCTACCACTATTCAATATTTTCTTTCAGCATGTTGAAAAAAGCAAAACTATGGTTAAGGTTTGTGAGACAAATGTTGCAAACACAGAAATGAAAATAATGAAAAGGAGGCAAAAAAATCAGTCTCATATTTCAATATACAAAAACATTTCTCCAACTTATAACAAAGCTTCTGGAAATGCATTGTAGTCACAAATATTCACAAGTTCGCTTGTGCAATGCAGTGACAAGTCAATGCATATACAATTTTAAATGTACAACTTAAAGCTGTATTTTAAATTTAGTTAGAGCAACTGATTTCAACAAATATGAGGAAATGTTCTGCAGCTGTCCTCTCCTGAGGTATTCCACTTTATTTTTTTCTATAAACATCTTGTGTAGTCAAAGACATCCGATATGTAAAGCAAACCTAGTATTATTTACACTGAACAGCCTGATATAATTTGCTCAATTTTGTACTAGATCAATGCTTTTCAAACTTTCTTCTTTCTTCTACATTCTCCTTTCCTTGTGTTTAAGAAAAGGTTTAACCTCCATTTGCAAAACAGAAAATGCCAAAACTTTACGTAATCTAATATATGAGCACAAAATTAACACTTACATAGGAACACAACTGCAGAAATACTTTTTAGTGTTTTTAAGTTAATAAACAAGCAACTTACCATCATATCTTGTTTTGCTAATTTGACATACAGGTCCACACGCCCTTTATCTTGTGGACAGATATCCAACCGACCGCTGAAAGGGGAAATTGTCACCGTTCTTCCAACAGGCAAAATAGGAAGGCCATTGGTAAGGCCACCATCAACCCACTTCTATTGGAAAACAGAAATATTTTCAAAGTAACACCAGTACAGTATGATCATAATGCAATACTTTACCCTTTTTGACCCTCCCTCCTTCACTCTCAAGAAAACTTACAAGTTTCCCTCTAAGAATACAATGAAAAAGATTCAGTATGTGTCAAATATGAAAAAACTGACAATGCACACACAGATATTTGAATCAATGAGCATTTAACATAATGTACAAATTTGGTGTAAGGTATTTATCAAGCTACTTATAGACTTTTCAGTTAATTAAAAAATAAAATGCCCCATATGGGATTTTTCTCAATGCATACATGTAAAGACAAGACTGTTAATACTACACATAATGTATCAGATATTAATTATTTAGCATATACTCTTCTAGAACATTATTCTGATTGACAACAGGAGCTGTTCAATTTGTACATGCAGGTAGTCTGACTGCAGAAGCTAAACCACAAATGACTCCTCTCCTCTTCTGTGATTTTTCTTCCAGAGCCTCATTTCTTCTTACATACACTACACAAGACAGCAGTAGCTGGAAAGTGGAAGGTAAAGGTGGGAAGGAGCTGAACAACTATGGCATAAGAGCGAGCAGACCTAATCCTGCTGTAGGAGTTGAGCAGAGTGAAGAATGAGATCTAGGGGCCAAATTCGTTTCCAATATAAACAGGACATCTGTTGGTGACTTCTCTGTGGTAATGTATTGATACCTTCCTCAGCTGAGACATCTCTTGGTAATGTATTTATACCTTCTTATTTCTTTCTGTGTTACAGGCATAGCCCAAAATTCAGCAGGGGTCTGCTGGCTAACTGGATTCACTGACACCATCCATGAGGTCTGTTGAGCAGATGCATCACACTGATCAGCTGATATGTATTGCTGTATCTGTAATTATAACGCTGACAAGCTTTCTGACATACTGCCTAACTAGCAGCAAATGCATATGATTTTGTGGGGCTTTTTGGTAGGGGGTCTGTGGAAGTTACAAAGGTTCTAGAGGCATCATTTTTATGAATGGGGAATTGAAGTATCATCTATTTCTCATAAGGAAGAAATAGCCATTTTCACGCTTTTAAAATTATTCCTAAAGTATTCATATGCTCATGTAAGAGAAACAAAGAAGCTGTACAAGCTAGATTGAGTAAAGACAACTGTAAAAAGGTGTTCATATAAAAATACAAAATATAGTATTGAAGTTGCTTTCCCTTAAGATGAAATAATTACACCATAAATAAAAACATTTAAAAAGAAAGTTCATAGCTCATGAAAAATTACCTGTCCTTTAAATTCCACTGGCTTAATTCCTGCATACACTGGTATAAAACTACTTGCTAGCAGGACCTAGACCAAAGAAAGCAGAAAGAATAGAGAAAAAAAAAAAGACAAAGGAATTTATAACTAATACGTATTTCCATGCATATTTACCAGTCAATATATTAGTTTTACATAAATCCACTGTAATCTCAAAATGTGGTGGTATGTCAAAATGTGATTAAAATTATTCAATAGGGTTTGATTTTTTAAGACTTCACAGTGATAACTGTCAAAACAAAATATCAAACATTAACTCAATTATTAATGTGATTTAAGAGGAGATTCAACTTAGTTTTGCACAATGTGAAGTAATCTGTGGTTTTCAAGAAATTAAATATGCAGATGATGAAAAAAAAAAACAGTTTAAGAAGAAGCTGACCAAGCCATTCTGTTGGCATATTAAAATAGTGTTTACACTTTTCTAATCAGATTTTCTAAGTTTCAATAATACCATGAATATCCTGGAAATTCACATATGTATACCTTTACCAATGTTTGTATTTATACATTCAAGTATTAACAGACTACTATTTCCTCTACTGTAAGGCTGCATTGCTGTTTATAGCCATTCTTGATTTTTATTTTAGACCAAGTCACCTCTTATCTCATGTACAGCTGTGCAAACAAATATGCGTTTCTATGCATTCATAGCAATGCCTCTGAGACAGTGCGGGTATCTCTATACCTGTGTATTCACCCATACATATATAAGCAACCAGCATATAGTATTTCCAGAAGAAAAGGTAAATGCATGGAAAAAGTGCAGTATGTCAGAATTTTTCATTCTAAATTTTTCATTCACTCAGCTAAATAGAGTGGATATGCACATGCTGTGTGGTGGCACTGATGACCAATCTGGGGAACAGAAGCAGGTCACAGACTGGTGCATACACTGTGTGAAAGATGAACAGGTGCAGAAAAAAACCCACAATCCATAGAGATTATGAAGGAAAATGCCTAAGCTTTTTTTTGCCTAGAATTACATTTACTTTTACAAAATTTAAGCTCTTTTAGTATTAGGCCCTTCTGTTTCCCTAACAAGTTTTAATAAAGACTGTATACGTATATGAAGTCTTCAACTTCCACTCTGAGAACAGTTTTCCTGCCTATTCCTTCCTAGAGATGTAGAGCTTTGTCTGAGCTCACATAAAAAGGCTCTCTGTTTTCTAAAGTGAAACTGCAGCTATTTCTCTACCAAGCAGGCCTTTCGCTAACAGAAGTTTAAAGCAAGATTCCCAAGTTCCTAATATCAGCCTCTTCCCCAGCCCTGCACCTTTCCTCCTCTCTTCCTCGACTCCATCTCAATGACTTTGGCCCTTCTAAACTAAGAGAAATGTAGAAAAAAGATTTAGTGAATGGAGTCAAAACCAGGTGACTCCTGCAAAGTTTGAGTTCTTTTCAAGAGGACTGAAGAAAGCAGTTGTTCTTCTTAAAAAGTCACTGAGATCTCCTGAGTGAGGAGAGGCAGGACAAGTTTGAAAAACAAACACTTTCAGTGTTTCCCACCAGTGTGGACTTCTAGGCACTACCTTACTTTCCCAAACTAAATATACCAGAGTTCTGTGCCTTGCTCTCCCACAAACACACAGATTGTGCCTCTCTTCCCCCCCAACTCCAGTTTAAGAACCACAAGCCTACAAATGCCGATACAAGATGATTGTTTTATGGGAAGTCTACTTCAAAAATGGGAAATTACTACCTGCCTTTCCAAGTCCACAGGGAATAGCAAAAAAAGATAAAAGCTTAGCATTGCAGCAACATATTCATTTTAGTCATTATGAAAGACTTTTGGAATTGCAAGGCTTGGTTGTTAAGCATTGAAGTGGAAAGATTTCTGGCAGGGGGTGCAGATGTTTTGTTGTTTTAACACAATCTGCCCAGCAGTACCTTTATCCATGCCTTGGCTGTAGGTCATGCCTAGGCATGATACAATAAAATAACCTAACAAGGTCTACCCTCCCTGATCCTGTGGCAGCCACCAGCACTGAAGAGAGCTGTACTCATGACACAGACAGAGCTGAAGACATGCACAAAAACAGCTGTTAGGAGCTGGACTGAAAGATCAGACAATATGAATATATTCCAATGAGCAGTTATGTGTAATTTAATTGCTATTATTCTAACCCACCCTACTGATATCATTGAGAACAAAAGAATAGAACAGCAATGGCTAAATCAATGAAAGAACTATTGAAATACTAGTAAAATGTACATATTTCCAAGGTCATCCTAATTCTTCTCACTGTCTCCAGGTTAGAGAATTTCACTGAAGAACCACATAAAGAATAAAAATCTCCACACTTGCTACTATTGCATACTATAGCTAGAAACAACAGTGCATAACTTGAGATAAACTCTTCACATAATTATATTTGCATGACAAAGTCCAGTAAATTGAGGACTATCCATGTAAAATATAATAGGGTCAAAATTTTAAAAATTATACTTTAAAGGCAAACTCCCAAAGCACATTTTGAGGTTTTGTTAGTAAGTGTCATTTTTTTAAAGTGGTAACTATAAAGAATTTGCTCTAAGTATCCACGAGGATAGAGAAAGAAAGGATTCCTTCTTATACTATTTCATCCTTTATTCTGATCCATCTTATTATGTCTTCCACTAAGATACAATCACTTACTTGAAAGAACATCTGCTTCACATGCATCTGAATTGCTCTTACCATCTCTTATCAGCTTATGCATACAATCCTGATCCAAATTTAAAATGTGGCATTCAGATGAAGAGAAGGACAGTGAAAGATATACTTTCCAGCTTATATAAAGTACTTAGCATTACATTATAAGTATCCACAAGCACCTCTAGGAAATGTTCCATTTTTTTTTAAACTTCCTTTGCTTTCTTTTGTGATAAAACAATATCAGTAAAGTAAGAGATGCAAACATTTTTACAATATTTTGAGATTTTCTATTGTGTTCTCATTTACTGCAACAATTAGCTACCTGTTACTTTCAGAAACACTTTGCCTACAAGATAGAGCTTGAATAACCAATGAAGGAAACACAAACAAACAACAAATACATTTTAGCAAAATTTGTGAAGCTATAGGATCGAATTCTGCTTTAAACATTGTTTATATTATGGTTTTAGCACCACTGGGAGTAGCATGGTTACCTGAATAAACCAGTGATTTTACTGTACAATTAATAATACACTCTTAAGCCTTGAAGAAATCTCAGAGTTTGTATTTACAACTGCCACATTCAACATGATTACCTTAATGACGTCCTCCCTGGAGGCAAAATTTGAAACCAAGTGATTTTCCCCACTCTTGGAGTTGGTGACCGACACATAGAGCCGGTTCTCAGCTATCTCATGAACATCAGGAGGAAGAATAGACTCTATGCCCTCCCTAGAGGAAAGAAAATGCTCAGCATTACCCACCACTATTACTTAAAAGCCTTGCCAATGCATTAGGGGTGAGCACCCCACAGCACAGCAGAAATATGCACCCTCTCAATTTGCATTTGGAGAGCTCTCTAACACAAAAATGATCTTAGAGAAGCATTAAGATAGGTACCTAAGCGTTTTCATAAAATCATAACCAGGCGTTACTGCACCAAAGTTCAATCTTCTGACTTCCTGTGCAAATCCATAGGCAAAGTGCTTACATTTCTGGAAATGAAAAGCATTAACCATTAGGGATGTTTAAGTGACGGGAACCATGTTTAACTGCAGTACCTAAAATATACTAGAGCTAAAGCTTTAATAAAAGAGTTATTAGATCAAACCAAAGGATTTTCCCATGTGTGCTTGGTTTGTAACAAGACATGCATAACAAAATGTTGATCTTTTGCTAAAGATTAATTTGTAAGAAAAAAAAAATTCCCTATTGAAAAAAAAATAAATAAACTCTTAATAAATAAACTCTGAGGATACCACTCCAACAATCAAGCAAAGTTAAAAGCTATTTTTCTATATATTACCACTGCTAAATAATCAGTTCCCTAGATCATGCCATTACAAGAACAATCACTTAGTTCAAACTCTAAAGCCACCTCTTATTTTAAGGTCTGCTTCAGAACTTAAACTAGACACAAGTACCTTAAGATGCTTATAAGCAGTAAGAAAAATTAAAATTACAACAATTTTTTCTCACTAAAGCAAAAAACAGGGTACTAGCAAATACACATATTTAATTAATAAAATACTATGGAAGTATTTAATGAATGAAAAACTCAGATGGGTGATATAGAAAGAATATACACATCAGAAAAAACAGGTAACAGATTCCTGCACAGAGAACCTTTTACACAAGCTGAAATGCCCAGCATTAATGACTGCAAAAAAAATAACCTGAAGTGTGAGTCACAAGAATTCCAAAGGGACAGTAAAAGAATTGGTAAAATTTATTTTTAGCCATAACATTCTGAAACAATGAATTATGATCCTAAGTGCTTAATACTCACTATTCAATATTTGTAATCCTTTTCTTATCCTTTCATGCAGGCTTTTCTAATGATTTTAGAGACTTGGAAAAAAAACTAAATTCAATCTTATGAACCTTCTGAAATAGGTACTTTATAAATTCACCCACATTCACCCATATCACCACACAAATAAAAGATAGTTTGGGTTTCCTGGATTATTAGGTCTGTGCATAAAGAACAAATATGTTGTTAGCAACAAAAATCAATGACTGAGTGACTAAGTAAAGGAAAGGGGAAAAAAAAATAGGAGAGACATGAATGTATCCCACTGAGGAGGAGAATACAGAATACATTGAAAGAAAAACAAGGAAGGAGGTAGGTGAGGATTAACACGTGATCAGAGCCATGAGGGAGTTAAACTTCCTCACACCACTTGTATGACAAAGCACTCAGCTAAGCAAAAGGCAGAAATGTAGTTCTTGCATCCACTTTCTTTATATAGCCTTTGAATAAATGCATCAAAAAGTTCACTAAGAGGTTCATACCTCTTAAAGAAACAGTTACTTGTGATACTTAGCTTCACATTGGTTGGATTTGCACCTTTATCCCATGAGATACTTGCCATTGCCAGCTCAAAGCCAATTAAGGCAGATTCAGATACTTCTCTCTATGAATGCAAAAGAAATCCACAAAACCCCACACAGAAGCACCTCAGAACTACTATCCCTGTATCTAAGATGCTTAAACAAGGTTATGGGGAGCTAAGAGTACCAAACTAGGGAAATGACAGAAAACTACTTTGCACATTACAAGTTCCAAGAATGTACTGTACCTAGACTCTCAATTTCTGCTCTCAAAAGGGACAACTTCTTACAGTTATGACTGTTTTAGAATCTGAGTGCTAGAAGCTTTAAACAATACATCTACATGTTAAATAATCACTGAGGACATGTTTAGAAATTGTAACTGCTTGTATTGAATTAAGCAAACCTGATATCAACATGACAAAGGTAATTTTACAATAAATAGTTATTTACCTATAACTAAATAAGCCTAATTAGAATTCTCAAGTCCCACACCTTTACAAACAGTGACAAAAATTCAATATATGACAGAAAAACATTTGGAAACTGTCTTAGAACAGCAACAGTCAAAACAGTAGATCATCAGTGTTACATTCTCTCCAAGATAAGGACAGGTTGCATTACAGCTTTGAGACTAGAAGATACAGAAAGTCCTAATTATGGCTTACCTAACATTGCCATCTCTGGGGGGGAAGATGAGGGAGGGAAGAAACAAATAATTAACTGATTAGCAGCTACACTTGTGGATATAAAATATTTCAAGCTAGAATCATAGTAAAGATAATAATATAATTATCCTGATATGAAAAGTTAATTCTATTCAGTAAAGAAAACTGCCTTTACTTAAATTCCATGAGAATTACAATTATTCTCACTGACAAAAGAACTCTCAATTTCCCGTTTAAACACTGTAACAGAATAATTAAAAGTACACAAAAAATAAAAGGACTAGAAAGTCCATGAAGCTTTGTTTAGCTTACAATAATATGACAAAATTTCAAGGAAAAATACAACAGACTCAATGTAATACAGACTTAGCTTCCACAAACAAAACCTAAAAACTATTCTAATATTTTTACTTAGAAAGATCTTTGTAAGTTGGACCAGGCTGAGAACAAGGACTCATACCCAGGGTCTGCAATAAGCAGAAAAATTTCCTTGGGCTAACAAAGGGCGGCCATGCTCACCACAGAGGAAATAAATGTCAGAGGTATATATTATACCAGGCAAACTTGAAACTGAACTACCAGTCAGAGGTGAGAGAAGGGGAGAAATGCCTGCACAGAATACAATGAGGTTTTCTCCACAACAGAGAGGAACTTGCCTAATACCAAGTCATATAAAGAATGTTTGCAGGGGAGTGGGATGGGGAAAAGAAGCCAGGGAAAAACAACTGCTGAAAGAAGTAATGCTGCAAGCTGAGTTCATATCCCAGCAGAAACAACCAACAAACAAACAGAAAGATCAGTGGCAAAGTGGGGTTTTGCTGGGACTATTATTTGAATCACATGAAATGAAATAAGCAAAGCCTAGAGGAATTATCAAATGCTCACTTGGAACAAAATGTAAGTGTAACTTAGATGAAAAATCTAACAGCCTGTTTTTCCCACAATAATGAAAAATAGTAAAGAAATATCAACATTTTGGCAATCCTGGTCTTCTACATTTATTAAGGCAAAGTCACTACAGACAGTTCAGGAGGGCAAAGCAGCCTTAACCTGTGGGGAAAACCAAGCAAACAGACACCAAAAAAACCTGCTAACACTCTCCAAGCAAACAGACACCAAAAAAGCCCCTAATGCTCTCCATGGAATCTGTAACATTGCAATCACTGAACAGAACCTTGGTGTCTCTGCAGGACACCACATGCACTGTGAGAAAGGAGTGGCATCTCTGGAAACAAAACAACCCAGATGCATGTCAGAACAGAATGCTGTGAGGGTTAATCCCATGGGCTGCTATTAAGGCATGGGCTACACTGAGTCTAAAGGAGATGCAAAAGCCTTTAATGCTGTTCAGTGGAGGACAGGCACCAAGAAAATATCTGAGCAGGTGGGAGCTGTTTATGAAGAGACACTCCATCTACCATTTTCAACTCCTTTCAGAAAAGGTTAGAAGGGTGGTGCTATGCACTTGCTTAGCAAAGCCTATCTCTAACTAACAGAACCATGATTCACTTTGTAATGTACCATCATTAAGTATACATTTTGGTATACTAAAGTATATCTGTTGCTTACAAATTAAGATTTACACACATGAGATTTGTATTTACACAGCTTAAAATGTAAGGTTCATATGAAATATTTCTATCATTAACATTTTTGCTCATGAGTCACAGATATGCTTAATCACAACATCATACAAGAGTCCTGTTCCTAGCAAATATCAAGAAGTAAAAGAGCAAGACACAACACATTTTAATGAACTTAATGGAAGATGATCATATACAAAAATGTCCTTTGAAAATTATCATGGCCTATACCTACGAGTTTATTAATTTACCTCTATATTTTCTGGCACTGCTAACAAGACAGCGGCAGCCAGAGATCCCGCAGAAGCTCCCGCAAAAGCTTTCACATCTCTCAGTAACTTCTTACCATGCCTGTGGAAAGCAGCTGCTGCCCCCAAGTGGTAAATGCCCAGAAAGCCACAAGCTGCAAAGGACAAGTTGATGTGTCTCATCTGGGCTGCGGAAATAGTGTGTCACAGTCAGTCTTTTGCAATTTCTCTTGCAACATACAGTTAATTTTTTTGCATAACGTACTCTAACTATATAAAAAACCGCAAGTTATTTGAGAACAGTAAAAGCTTTTGATTACTAAATATATCAAACCATCAGCACTTAGTTTAGTATCTCCAAAACTGAAAACAACTCTGAAAAAATCCTTAGTACCCTTTTTTTAATAAATAAAAAATATACAATTTATCTATAGCATAAATACATACTTTCATCTGATTTGTCAAAGAGTAGCTACACAAAAGTTACTTAAAAATACCTTGAAAGAACAAACATTGTGAGCCACCTTTATCAAAAAATCAAATTAATTATTAAACTGCTGGTTACTGTCTCATCATGTAGTGACGGGACTGGGAAAACGGATTCAAATTGAGAGAAAGTTAAGATTGGATATTTGGAAGGAATTCTTTACTGTGAGGGTGGTGAGGCACTGGAACAGGTTGCCCAGAGATGGATACCCCATTTCTGGCAGTGTTCAGGGCCAGGCTGGATGGAGCTCTGGGCAACCTGGCCTAGTGGGAGATGTCCCTGCCCATGGCACAGGAGTTGGAACAAGATGATCTCGAAGGTGCCTCACAGCCCAGGACATTCTATGATTTTATTATCATAGTCCCCCTTACACAAGCAGAACTCTGAATCCATCATAATTCTCTAAGAGAGGAATTTTTTCTGTCATCTTTGAAACTCATCTCCTTACTAGAATTAGTAATAGACAATTTTTCAAACTAATTACTAGTTTAAAAAAGAAAAAACAAAAAGCATACTTTTGCTACTATTAAAATAAGAAGGAATAAAAAAAAAAACCCAAAGTAAAATACAAAGCACTAAATGCAGGAGAACACACACACTCCAAAGGTGTCTAGGATAGAAATTTAAATTTAACAAGAAAACCCCACAAATAGGAAGCATAAGTTCAGATTATCAGAGATAGTTAATTAAATAAACAGAACGCTGTGCAATTTATTAGCTCTTCTATTTCTGTAAATAACTACATAATGAAAGCAAGACATTCTGCAGATTGTATGTTACAGATGTAAGAGATACTGTACACATTATCTTAGTATTGAATTAAAAATAACACCCTACTGTACTTGGGTTCATCTCAATATGAATGGGAATAAAAGACAGAAACTGTTATATCAGCCCTGAAGACAGGCAAACATACACAGCATCACATTTTTGATAAAGATACCTCCTCATCTTTGAAATGGGAAGGCCAGGAAAGATGAGGAGAAGAAAGAGCTTCCAAAACCATTAGATAAATGCCAAACCCAACTGCTTTACCCACAGCATGATTAAAATCAGACCTTAAGATCTGACCAGGTTTGCTATTTTACTGAGACAGCACCTCATAGTGCCAGGGACTATTTGGTGCACCAGTCAGTTGGCTAAAACACATAGTATATCAACTGTGCTGGAAATGCTTCCATACCCACTTGTAAGTAGGAAATACCTGTAACAAATCTAACATATTTGTACTCAGAAAGTATTAGAGGTTGGCTCTTGCTGTGACAATAGGAGAGAAAGACATTTAGAATGAAGAGAGTGATAAACTGATTTACTATTTTTGCAAAAAAGGATCTTTTAATTTAAAGAAAAGTCTGTGTACTGAATAGAAGGTAAAAAACTACTCAAGATGCTACAGGAAAATAACAACCACAACTCTACTTTTTTTTTTTTTTTTTAATAGAGTGGAAGAAAACTAAAACAGTCTTTGAAGTATGATACCACAATATGCTTCCTTTCAGGGTAGTTAAACTCTTGGGAGTTAAACCAGCTGCTGCAGCTGACTCCAAACCTTCTACAAAATAGGAGCAAAGATGCATTTGCATCACAGGCCACTGACAAAAAGGTGAAGCTGGTTAAAGCAACTGCATTCTTATGTAGGAATTGAAGAATCAACTCCCATTTCTATGCAAAACAGATCTCAAGATCAAGACACTTCTAATAGGAAGCACTATATGAAATAAAGATTATGTTTACATAGCTGATTGGTCAAAAAGTATGCAAAGTACAAGTTCGCAAATACAAAGAATTACATCTAAGGGACCCATGTAATGTAACTAAGAAATGCAAGTGTAAGATAATAAGGTTATGTAAATCAAAATAAGTATATGGATGCTTATGTACATGTAAACCTTCCGCTAGGCTAATACTGCAAAAAACTCTCTCTCCCTGCTGGAAAATAATTAAATGGTCACAAATAAAAGAGAACCACAAAAGAGTATCTAAAGTGTGGTTACAGTAAAAACTTTAGATTAAAAGCCCTTTTCAAAATGAAACATTCCCTACAAATGTGGAAGAAAAATCATACTTCACTGTGTAAAAAAGGGCCGGGTACATTTTCTCTAAAGCAAGAACAGAAAAGGAGGTTATGTGAAGTGAGGACCCTATTTGAATCTCAGATCAAAAACTACAGAATTTATCTGATCAAAGTCAGATATCCATACCTCCTCTTACACACCTTCATGAAGAAATTATAGTCTCTTAGACAAGCTCTAGTCTATCTAATTATCATCTCCTGGGAGTAACCACTATTCTCTTTTCAGTGTCTGGATACATGGCATTCACTCTTTCATGTGAGTTCATTTCCTACCACTTAGAACCCACACTTTTCTGACTCCTACCCGAGACAGAAAGAGATTATTGAATGAGTATTCACATCAGTTACTTGACTGACAAAAGGATTCAGTGAGAGAAGAACACACAAGAAGAAAAAACAGCACTAAGATTTCAAGTCAAGGAATACAGTTCAAGAATGCTGCTTGTCTACCCTCTGTGAAGCGTAGATGAATTTCAAGTCCAAAAAGATTAAATTATTGCAACGTAAAAAAAAGGTGATTTTTTTACTTTTAGTGAGCAGAGGTACTTGACCCACTGGGTTTGGATGGCATACAATTCACTGTTTTACAGAGTCCCCAAGAGAACCTCAAATTAAGAGTAGCAATAGCATAGCTGGGTTACCCAGACACTACATTCCTATTAATTAGGACAAGTTCTCAGGTATACATTAAGTATTTGTCATATACAAAAAAAAAATTTTAAATTCCTCACTGCAAATGTTAATTGGCAGTTGACATTCATGCTCAAATGACAGATCCACTAGTTACATCTAGTTTCATGACTGAGAAATGAGGTATGCATATTTATCTATCAAACCTTTTAATTAGGTAAACAATGAGTAGGAAAAAAATCCTACATCATTTGAGTGACTTCTTGCCCAACATTCTTATGCTTAAAACATGGTCAGCTATGAGATCAAATTTGGTTGCTCATGCTCAGGACTTTACCCAGTTGTTAACTTGAAAATCTTGCAATGTTTAGCTCCTGTGATACCTAGCAGTTGTCTGTTGCTGGGTGAAACATACCCAGTTGTTAACTTGAAAATCTTGCAATGTTTAGCTCCTGTGATACCTAGCAGTTGTCTGTTGCTGGGTGAAACAGTCAGGTCTTCCTTCATTTGCTCATAATACTAAACTCAGCAGAGTATTGCAAATACCCAGCATTACAGAGAAGAAACAGAACATTATTATCTTCAATCCTGCATCCACCTGCAGGTAAGTGGGTGGAACTGAGGCCTCTTCAACAAATTTGTAAAAAAGCATTTAACTTACAAAGGATGCAGATGACAAAGATGAAACAGATAAATAAGAATCATGATTCTATAAGGAACTACTGCTCCACAGATACAGTTAAGCAATGCTGATTCACCTTGTAAACAGATCTCTGAATAGGAGGAAAAGACAAGAAAGCATTTTTAGGCTAATGTCTTGTAAAATCAGAAAGAAAAGTAATAGGAAACTGGACACTTCAAAAAGAATTCTTGCAAATATGTCATAGCATCACCCGAGTTGCAAGTTATAATGGTGTATTTCAATCAAAGCATGATTCAAATATGTCTTTTGCTTTGATGATATGATAGATCCCCGCTTTTTTGATCAAAAAACAATAGTATGATTATAAAAACTCCAAAGAGGAAACAGAGAGAAATTTAATTAATTATACATTATGACTATTCCCATAGAATTTCTTATAGAATAACAGAAATAGGGCATAGTCATCTGTGGAGACAAATCACTCCCTTCACCGGCTGGAGCAGAGAGCAGAAATCTTGCTATCTTAAAAAGAGTATGAAACACCTGTTTCACAACACTTCAAAACAAATATTCTTGGAAAGTTTAACATAAATTGTGACTATTAAGGATATTAACACCTATTAACACAAAGTTGTCCTGTTGGCATGTCTTAAGAAAACATTTCAATGAACCTTGAAGATGCACAAGTACACTTCAGCTGGACAGTGCACATAATGTATGACATAAATAGGACAGAACAAACACTTCTGCCACTGCTTTTCAAAAAATGTTGTCATCTTACATGACTGGCAAAATTCAAATCAAAGATTTCAACAGGCCAAGGGGATAGAAATGCTTCTGTTGTCTACAAGAGAAAAAACAGAAGCATAAGAAAAAATATTTACAAGAACACTGGGGCTGTTCAGTTTCATTATTTTGCAGATAATGCAGGAGCATTCGAGAATAAACATAAACTGAAGAGTTCCCTTTAAAAGATTACCACATCTGCAGGGAAAAAACAACCCACTGGTGATTAAAAATCTCTGAAGGGTGGGGGCATTTCTGTTTACTCAGCAGTATTGCATCCATTTTGTAATGCAAACCTTTGAGAGAATGTATGTAAAAAGACAAAGCTGTACAGAAAAATTATGGTACAGTACCACACAGCTTTCTGAGGACAGCTTATTGTCTTCCTGATCGTCATGCTCATGAAATAGCACAACAGTTTCTCACAGGGCTGTTTCCTGAGCAATGTAATTAAATAAACACTGTACCATCCCAGTGTCTTAACCTGTCATAACCACCTCCATGTCATCCCATTTGTAAACAAAAGCTGAAAATGCCCAAAGCAACTGAGTACCAACACCTTTACAAATACATCTAAACATACATAGAATGCAAATGACCAAGCACCCTGAAGCACAGGAGCTAAAATGTAGCATGCATAACAGCACATCTGAGGATAAGTTATTAGCAAAGAGTGACAAAACAAGCAGAGTCACAGAAAAAACTGCTTAGCTCAGCAGCACTGCTAAAATAAAGGTCATGAAGGTAACTACTAATTTATCTGAATCAAAAATCACCACTGACACAAAAATCTTTGTTTTTTCACATTTCTAACGGTGAAAAAAGTGCATTAGCACAACAATTCACAGCCTTCAGTGAATGTAAGAGTTTGATGAAGTTGAAGAAGAAAAATAATAAGTACATAATCTAACCAGCCATTAAGAACCTTAAGAAAATCGTGAATCTTTGCAAACTATAATGTTTACATATAATCCCCTTAAAATTAAAAAGAGAAAGACATCACGTAATACAAAACTTTCAAATTAAGATTCTAGACCTTGACACTTAAGATGTCAACACAGGGGCAGGGAAGGCTGACTTCCCCAGAAGAGGGTGGCAAAAAGTTCAATACCTTGTAATGAATGTTGTCTTCCATCACATACTCCACTGGGACTTTTTCCAACAGCTATTTTGGTTTCCTCCGCACTAGTATCCATTTTTCTATCAACTACGGATTGTTTATCATTTACCTTGGAAACCTGCAATCAGAGAGTCAAACATATTAAGATTAAAAAGGAAAATAACAGTAATATTATTTGACAGTAACACTATTTGACATTATTTGACAGTAACTGTTAAGTCATCTAGATTAATTTCACAATTGCTCAGCCAACACGAAATGAGTTCAAACCTCAATGTTCCACAACTTATGTCTGCAGCAATTTATATTTTAAAGATGAATTTAAATAGATATTGAAAAACACGGCCAATTGGATATGCCAGTATCGAAAATGAGCTTTTTGTCGTTTACCACTATTTCTATTTACATCTACATATTTTTTTGTAATCATACTCTTCTGTTTTTATCCTCCCTTACCTAATACTTTTCCTCTCTACCCTCTGTTGTGTAATACTGCATCTGTAAGTAATTTTTCAGAGAATTCTGGTCCTATTCATCACTTAACGATTGTCACATAACTAATCAGCCTGCCAGTTATCCTGCTCTACTATCTAGAGTACAGTTTGAAGAAAATGAATGTTTCTCCCCAACTCAGAACTATCAGACTCAAAAATTCACTCTGAAACACTGGTACTCCAGCACTTATTGCTGCCTGCCCCTTTACCTTGATAAACTGAAGGTACCTTAAATTCATAATTAATGCTGCAAAATCAAAAGCTTAGCTCTGTAGAGTCTGAACTAAATTATTTTATCACTGTATTTATGCACACCACTTATGTCTTTAGAGAATCACAAAAATACTTACCTGGAATTTAACCCTGTTATGTGGCACTCCTAAAGTGCAATAGATTGGAATTCCAATCCAGAACTGCCACGTTTTGGGAAACATGCAACTACACAATTGGCCTTCTTTCATCTGGAGCAACAGTATTTGAGCACTACAAAGCTTTTTGGCAGTCCACATTTTAGTAAAAGTGATCTCTGGATCCAGATGATATGGTAATCAAATAGATACTCGCAGTAGCTGGTTTACTATGAAGTTACCAACGAAGCCATAAAAGCACTGAGCAGAA